TTTAAGATGATTTTCAGTGGAATTCCTTGAAGAACCCATGATCTTCCTATTTTCTCAATATAGCCTATAAAGTTGATTTTGTGATCTTGATTTTATGTCAATTGATTAAGCTTAGATTTTGATGTATTATTGAATGTTATTGCTATATTTATATATTGATTATCAATTAAGAGAATTGGTCTATGATGATCATGGCTTGAATAATTGGTAAGTTGACCTAACTTCTAGTCTATAGTATGAGAATTGATGTTGTATGGTTTGATCCACTTATGGTGGTGGTATTTACTTCTTGACTATCTATGCATGTTGTCATCATGGACTTGAGGGAAACAGATGTAAAGTGATTTGTTATTATGATGAATATGGGTATGAAGTTGTTCCATGAAGGTTATGTATGTAGTTCTTAATGTTAGCATCATGAGTAAGGTGCATTGAAAATATGAAGTATTATATGAATGATAATGTCAGGGATAAGGTGTGGTCTACATGATTGATTATGATAAATACTATTGTGAAATGAGCCCAACCTATATGAACCCTATATAAATGTGTGATCTTATACATGTTAGGAGTTGTCTATTCAAATGTTGAATATGTTTTTGTGTCCTATGATGAAGTGTGATGTATTGTCTAGAATCCCTAAAGGCATTATAGGTGAATTGCTCATGACTTGGGGATATTGTAATTGTGTTGTGATCCTTTGAAGGGAAGTTCCCTCAATAATAATGATATTGATATTATGTCATTGTGAGTACAATATGTACACATACAAACCGTGCATAATTATGAATATGATGTTTATGGTGTCAATTGAAAGGTTAATTCTCATATGCACCTTTACATCTTATCATGCATGAAAAGTATATGACTAGTAAGGTATGAACATATGTTGTCTAAGGGTGTTTATGTGAAAGGTTTTCTCACATATGTACACACACATGAATGTATGAATGAATAAAGGTTAATGATAATCTAGTGAATGTGAGTCTCTTGAAAGGTTTCCTGAATTGTACTCTAAACTTGACTATGTTATGAATGTTATAATTATGTGAAAGCACATTCTCATATGATGTTGGTTTTGATGAAAGTACATTCTCATCATATAACCTATGAGCTATGCACATGTTACATGAGGGGTTAATCCCCTAAGCCTATATTGTGACTTAAAGTTTAAGAAAGACTTAAAGGCTCTTCAAAAAGGGAATTTAGCTTAGCACCGAGTGAATTTGACAATGATTTTGACAATGAGAGGTGTTCCTTCACAAAAGAAGGGAGGTTCACACTATGTTATGTTCTTTCATGAGGTGGAAATTACAATGCTAATTAGCATAAAGAAGGTTACTAGTAGCAACCTCCTAGTTCCTTAACTATGTATCCCCATAGGAACGTTAGTTGGTGGATCCACCTAGATGCTATATGAATGTTTATGCCCTACCTTGGAAAGTAGGACACCCTCTTTTCGGTGTGAGGTGTTTACACCAAATTTCATGTAGCTCACATGGTCTATGTCAGTTATGGAGAAGTTTCCTAAATGTTAAAATGAATAAATGATAGTAAGAAGGTCAACACTAACTAGGACTACTTAAGAGGTGTTGCTTAGTATAGGTAAGGGTATGGTACGTTACCTATATGTTGAACACGTGGGTCTTGAGAGGAGTTTTAGGGTGTGTTTTTTATGTGGATATGTTACCTATGATATGCATGAAGTTGTTTCACTTGATAGATATGATCTTGGTCTCACTTGGTATGCATGTTGTTGACTATACTTGTTATGAATATGTATGAGGTAAATGACAATAATTATGACCTCGTTATTAGTTTTATTTATGTATGTAGGTTTATGGGGCTTCACATACACATTGCACTAGTAGACTTAGATTTGGGTTATGAGTAAGTTCGGTCTTCTGATGTATTGATAAAATGAACTCTAAATATAAAACATTTACTATGGCTTATCATGGTGTTACTTATGGTATGGACTTGTATATTGTTCTTGGAATGTGCATAAGGCTGAATCGGTTATGACTAATATATAATGAATGAATGAGTTCTTACATAACGTTAATAAAATATGTTGGTCTTATGTCTAAAGTTGAATGAATATGTTGTGACTTGTTGAATATGATGTGCCTTGTCTAGGGTTACTTCATAGGAGCACTTGGTGTTAATAGTATTATGAGATGCTACTTGTACATTTCACTGGTGTGACTTGGGCTTATCTTAGATTATGGTTATTATGTGAAGGTTATGTTTATAATGTGCTTATGTCCTTATGAATGTATGTGGTTGGATTGATAAAGGTTGTATGGAAGATCACCTTTGGTAACCTTAAGGTGATACTTTGGTATGAATGGTGGGATGAAACATTTTTCATACATTACACTAAAGTATTACTTAAGGGTTGCTTTAGGTAAGGAGTTAGATTAAAAAGGAAAGGTAAGTTATTGTAGATGTTGGATGTACCTCAAATATGATAAATGGATGTATGTGTTGTTGTGAATGGTATCCATGTGTATTATGATGTATGTGAACTGTATTATGCTTATTGTATCAAATGTTCATGAAGTTTCTCTAAAATGACGTGATGCATGGTTTCTGACTAAATGTTCTCTTTTAAAGTATATTTTACATGGTTATTATACTTAGTACATTTTTGTATTAATACCATTCGTATTCACCTTTTTACACCAAGTGTAGGTGCCGGTGGCTAAAGAGCCTTCCTTAGAATGAAGCGCTTGGATTACTATTCCCAAGTTGGGTATGTCCTTAAAGATTTAAGGACCTTTGAATTAAGAGTTTCCTTAAGTTTATGTAATAGACTAGTTGTGTTTCTTTTTAGGGAAAATACCCAAGTACCCCCTCAACCTATGCTCGAAATCCCAGAGACACACTTATACTCCCTCATCGATAGTTACCCATTAGATTACGTTTTACGGATCAAAAAAGGGATTTGGGGAGTTAAAATCTTACCTTTAGCCTCAAGTATAATGCAAAATTGTCAAGAATCTCTGGGGTTCATTCCTTAGCTTTGAAAATTGAAAATTGCAGAATAAACACGTTTTGGGGTTTATTTATGAAAATGTTGTGCTGGGCCGCCACAACGACCCTCACCATACTACAATGGCACCGCAGAGCGACCAACCCACCTCCAAAATGGCTTGCACGAAATAGTGAGCTATTTTATTAATTCCAAGACCCCATTTCACAACACACATTTAATCAACGACGCTCAGAAAATACCGTTCACACTAAGATCGATAGTGGTAGTTCTACTCAACCGAATTCAATTTCGTAAAGTCTCACAAATTCCTTAACGACTTGTCTAACTACTCGTGTAATCAAAATCATAATTAAACCACCTAATTGTTACCAGATTTTCCTATGCCTTAATTATTATGATCTCATCCAAATCTTGACTAGGTTTGGAAATTTCAAGTTACAACGAAAAAAGTTTTCCGTCCCAAAAATTTTCCCCATTGGCTTTTCTATAACAATTGAACCCGTCTTTACACTTAGATATTTTAACTAATCCTTTCCCTATTGTCGTAGACCTCAGCTTTCTCAGGTTTTATCTAAGACTAGACTAACCCAAAATTTTCAACTTGTCATTCCAAAAGGTTTTCTACTTAATATCTTTCACCAATAGTTCTCCCATAATGATCGAAATGAGCCATTACAATAGATATCAATTTACCCGATCATCCACAAGCGATTAATTAAGAAGATAGTAGTATTGGAATCCTAAAACAAGTGAGGGTACTTGCCCCACATGTCCCTATTGATTTCCCAAGTCACTTCATGAACCAGGTAATTCTTCCATTGAACTTTTTTCTCAATTTTCGGACATCACAATCAAGAATGGCATCCGGTTCTTCTTTATCCTACCAGTCGTCATCTAGAGATATTGCATCCCACTTGATAATATAATCTCAAATACCATGGTAATGTTTAATAATAGATTCATGAAGCAATAGATGAACCCCATACAAGTAGTGTTGTAAGACACTGACCACACTGTAATAAATCTCAAATGTATATTGTATGAAGCAATAAACTTACCCTAGTTTTCATTACTCTAACATGCATTGTAAACGTTTTACTATAGAGACAATGAACATAAATAAAAATCCTAACTAGAAAAACAACAATCATTACCTACTCCTAGACGATTCCTTTCGGATAATTCTTCCGCTTATGACTGAATTACCCATAATTTAACACCTCTATGATAAATCCCAATAACAATTATGAGGTCCAACAAATCAAGAACCCTTACATCTAGAACAACTATAAACACGTGTCTATCTACCTAGACTTTGTGCGTAAAGGCTATACATGCAACTCTCAGCAATTCATAAGTATTATGCAACTAAAGACACACCTAACTACTCAATTATGACTAGCCTATTAGACGTCAAACAATTACCTAAGGACTTTGAGCGTGAGCTTCTAGATACGAGATGAGAATCTTGAGAAACATACATCCACGGGCTTGAGCCACCTTGTGCTAGAATCCCTCCTCTCCCTTGTACAAAAGCTTGGAGCAACTTTTGGAGGGTTTTTGGAGTTACCCTCTTCTTTTTTACCACTGAAGAGTTAAAAAAATTTGTGTTTTTCAGTATCTGCGTCGCAGACCTTACTATAATAGCTTGCCATGCCGTTAGAACGGCGGCGCCATAGCAAAAATATTTCTTCTATGGCGGGATAACATCAACCCAAATCTAATTCAAATTTCAATTTTTTTCATGTCATCCAAATTTTAATTGACAACGTATTTCAAATTTTTTTAAGACTCTTGCACGAAATCGGTAAAAATTAAATTAATTGGGACACATGAAGTAACTTATACGGAAGAACTGTTGCTTTTTCTTAACCTCACCCGCTCACCCAAAAAGAATGACTAGTTTGTCCATATTAGCATCACTTTAAACAAACAAAGCGGTTTGAATCCCATGTTTCTCCCCCTCACCCTTACTCTCTCACACCGACACATAGTGACACAACACAACACCCAATGCCTATATCACACTATTCTTCCTTCTCCTCCTCCTTATAAATAGCAATATATTCAATAAAGAGCCTAATTAAATCTTGAAAAATGGCATCATGTTTATCTTTACTCTTTCTTGCTTTACTTGTTGTTTTTCCCTCTTGTCATGTTCTTTCCCTTTCTTCATCCAATAATGAGGATGAGTTTATGGTGTCTTCTGTCAAATTCCCTGTACCAATGGCAGAAAAACTCATCAAACAATTTAATTTGTTCCCTAAACATGATATCAACAAGGCTTCATCATCACCCTTAGCTGCTACTCATCAGCAAACTCTCTTTGAGAAGAGATTCAATTTATCTTATCTTGGTGATTCTGGAGCCACTGTTCAAGATTTGGGTCATCATGCCGGTTATTATATTCTTCCACATACTAAAGATGCAAGGTATGGTATGGTTAACACAATTTTAAAGTTATATTATTGTTCAAACTCACAGTGACAGTTTTTCTTAATCGGTCCAAAAAAATAAAACACTTTTTATATTAAGCAACAATTTAACTATAAAATATTTATGTTTGTCATATATAAAGTAATTTATCATCACACAAATTTCTATCATTTATTTTCAAATAAAAATATTAAAATATTCCTTTCTTTCTTAAAGTCCACAACATATTAAATTATCTTATATAAGATGAAACTTAGAAAATATTAATAATCTATACATATTTTCGATATAAATAACAGGTTTAGGCTAAATTCAGCAAAACTCGTAATCATTGAAATAGCTCCGCCCGTGATGATTATAGATTGGATTTGTCACTTTATTACGCAAAGAATAACCATTTTTTTATTTCTAGGTATTCTTTGATTTTGAAATTTTTATTTTACTTTCAATAAAATAATCTCATTGATAGTAGTCATAGTAACTTGTGTTCTTAAATTCATTATCACAATAACAAAAGAGATATTTAATGATGATAAAATATTTTATAGCAATTAAATTAATATCATTATATTTTAACTTGTTAAAAGAATAAACGATACTCATATAAAATATTGATTATGATTATAAATACTTGTATGTATTATATTTTACTATAGCAGATCCTTTATTTATTATAGTGTCCAGTTAAATTCGAGAGAAAAGAAAATTTTGTAATTGTTAATGTTATTTTTATCTTTTATTTTGGTGCAATTCTGAATCGTTTAATTTGTTTGGCAGGATGTTTTATTTCTTTTTTGAATCAAGAAGCAGCCAGAATGATCCAGTTGTTATATGGCTAACAGGGGGGCCAGGATGTAGCAGTGAATTGGCTGTGTTTTATGAAAATGGACCTTTCAATATAGCAGACAATATGTCACTTGTTTGGAATGATTTCGGCTGGGACAAGGTTTTTACTTATTTCATTTCAATTTAATTGCCTAGATTTTCTTTTAGTCAGTTTTTTTTTTTAAATAAATTATTATTTTATTAATATTTTTACATATAACATATTTAAAATTACAAAATTAAAAATACATATTTTACATTTTTTAATTTAAAATTATTAAATTCATATTTTTACTTTTTTCTCCATTAAAGATTAAGGCAGTCTATTTCAAAAAAGTTGTACGTGATGTTAAAGTTTTGGTGCATCTAAATTTATCCTAATACAATTTAATTATAGATAAAATAATTTTTCTTTCTTTTGTTTATATATTTTTGAAGAGAGATTTGGCAGCCTTTTGCTGTATCTTCATTTACACGTAAAGTCCCTTCCACTTTGTGAACCTATACATCTTTAATTTCTACTTTCTCCCACCACAATGATATAGGGACATAACATAAAGTCCCCTAGTAATCACTTTATTTTCTGAATAAATAAGATTCCACTACTCAAATTTATGATAGAGTTGTTGATTAAAGTTGTTTTCCAATATCAATTAGCGCACATCAAAAAAGTTCCAATTAAATGAACCCAATAGGCTCTAGAATATCAAATGGGAAAAAGGAGAGATTTTTTTGAACTGCATGATTCATGTTTATAATTTGATCTACAGGTCTCAAACTTAATATACGTTGATCAACCAATTGGAACTGGTTTCAGTTATAGTTCAGACGATGATGACATTCGTCACGATGAAAGGGGTGTTAGCAATGACCTTTACGACTTTTTGCAGGTTTTGTTCGAAATCTTACGTTTAAACTTTGAATGTTATTGATCTAGCTTACATGTTTAAACTAAAACACCTTATTTGTTTGTCCTTAGGCTTTCTTCAAGGCACATCCTCAGTATGTAAATAATGATTTTTACATAACTGGAGAATCATATGCTGGGCATTACATTCCTGCATTTGCTTCTCGTGTTCATCAAGGTAACAAGAACAAAGAAGGAATTCAAATAAATCTTAAGGTAATTATACTCATTTCTTGCATATATAGCTATTTTTTTTTGCTTTGTTACGGTGCTAATTTTATTCGATTAGGGATTTGCCATTGGTAATGGACTCACTAATCCAGAAATTCAGTACAAAGCCTACACTGACTATGCATTGGATATGAGATTGATCAAACAATCTGATTACAATGTCATTGACAAGTCATATCCAAAATGTCAACAGGCAATTAAGCTTTGTGGTAATCTTCATCTCACCCACCAACTGTATTTATCGTTTCACTATAAATCTTGACATAATAATTCGTGTGCTATGCAAAAAAAAATTATTTTAGGAACTGATGGTGGAAGTGCTTGCATGGCGGCATATCTTGTTTGCACAAGTATCTTCAACAAGATCATGAATGTTGTGGGTAACAAAAATGTAAGAAACCACCATAATTTCTTTTAATTTTCTCTCCGAGCTAAGTAATAATCACACTACTGATTTCTAATAACCATAACATTAAATCTGCAGTACTATGATGTGAGAAAGACTTGTGATGGTGATCTCTGCTATGACTTCTCCAACATGGAAAATCTCCTCAATGATGAAAAGGTTAAACATGCCCTTGGTGTTGGGGATATTGAGTTTGTCTCGTGTAGTTCTACAGTTTACCAGGCAATGCAGTTGGATTGGATGAGGAATCTTGAAGCTGGTATTCCTCCACTTCTTGAGGATGGAATCAAGCTACTTGTCTATGCAGGGGAATATGATCTAATCTGCAACTGGCTAGGTAAGCTTCATTCGTTTCTGATCCAACAGAACCTCCTAAATTATGTGCATCTACTATAAATAGTTTGAGGTAAGTGCATAACTAAACTATTTTTGTTGATATATATATATATATATATATATATATATATATATATATATATATATATATATGGACAGGGAACTCGAGGTGGGTACATGCAATGGAATGGTCTGGGCAGAAAGATTTTGGGGCAGCACGATCGGTTCCTTTTATAGTAGATGGTGAAGAGAAAGGAATTGAAAAGAACCATGGGACTCTAACATTCCTTAGGGTCCATGATGCAGGACACATGGTTCCAATGGATCAACCTAAGGCAGCACTTGAAATGCTGCAGAGATGGATGCAAGGGAAATTGTCTAAGGAAGGTCACTTTGCTCATATGTAGTTTCTTCAACTTACAACTAAGGCCCAATAACAGTTCATACGGAAAAATGTGACACAAATCATGTAAATACTCTTTCAACATTTCATGTCTATTTTGAGGATAATGGTGTTCTGTCTGTGCCATGTATTAAAATGTCGAAAAACCACATCAAATCCTGGAATGAACTTAGATGTAACAAGTATTCATGGTAACTCATGCAACAATAGTTAATAAAATCTTGATTTGTTTTTCCAATTACTTGATGCTACTGCACTCTGATCTTAAGGAACCAGCTGGTTCCTTAAGTTCGTCTATACAACAACAGACAACGTGACTATGAAAACTCTCCTTGATCAAGGGAATAAAAACCAAAACCTACAATCTGTAGGATTTTCAACCAACTTAACTATCTTAAAGAGTGGATTCAAATCATCACTCTATATTGTAGGGACTAACTCTAGTAATACCTTCAGACACGATGAGATCTTGTCTTTGATACAACTGGAACAAACTCACAACCACACTAAGGAGATTACTGCCCCTCAATACACTACAACAAAAACAACTTTTAGCGGCATTAAATATTGATACTAATACAGAGTGTTAAAAGTCTTTACCGACATTAGTTAAGTTCCATTAAAACCAATGTCGCTAAAGGTTTTAGGGACATATACAAAGAGTGACAATTGCCGCTAAAAAAACATATTTAGCGGCAATTAAGAATTAAATATCGCTGATGATCATTTTTGTTGTAGTGATAAACTCCTGTAGCAGACTCGATCATAACCACCTACACAATTACTAATTAGTCTTGAGCTTTTTGTTGTTTCGTTCTCAATCTTCACTCTTTTGTCTATTGCTTTTGAGAGAATTCCAATTTCGTGTTACAATAGCTGATTTTCTCTGTGCTGTATATGTTGCATGAAATAAAGGCATAATTATCATAGACTATGATCAAAATCTCAAAGACACTCTTACAGTGTGTTTGGTATGAAGGAAAATATTTTTCTGCAAGTAATTTTTGACTTATTTTCTCATATTTGGTTGGTGGGTAGAAAATATTTTTAGAAACTTTTTTTTAATATTTGGTTTTGAATGAAAAATGTTTCTGAGAAATATTTTTTATTTTTGGGATAATACATATATTAGACCCTAAACTTGATTTCAAATTTTAACTTTGACCTCCAACTTTCATAATGAACAAACACACTTTAACTATCCAACTTTTAAATAAATAAATACATGAGTCCTACATGACACAATACACGTAAGACATCATGTAGGACAAAAAATGACATGTAGGACACATGTTTATTTGTTCAATTTTATACAAGTTTAAGTGTCTACTTGTGCACATCTAAAGTTGAAGGGCGTAAATGTAATTCGAACCCAAGTTAAATGGCACAATTATTTTTTGGAAACAAACTTAATTTTTTTGGGGTGGGGAAGATAGATGGTAGGGGTAAAAATTAATATTTTTTAAAATAAACTTAATTTTTTTTGGAGGGGCGAGGGGAGTACGTAGGGGGGATCGAGGGTAGTGGTGAAAAAAATAAAAACTTGAAGTTTTTAGAAACAAACTTAATTTTTTTTGGGGGGGGAGGGAGATCTAGGTATGGGTGAAAAATAAAGTTTTAAAGTTGAAAATATTTTTTTAAAAACAAACTTAAATTATTTTTTTGGAATGGTGGAGGAGGTGCTGGTAGGGGGTGGGTGGAGGGGGGGGGAAGGGAGGAGGGTCGAGAGTAGAGGTTAAACAAATGAAATTTTGAAGTTGAAATATTTTTTAAAATAAACTTAATTTTTTTTGGGGGAGGGTTGGGAATTGGGGTGGGGGGTGGGGGAGGATTGAAAGAGAATTTTAGAAAATGTTTTCTTTAAGTTTTGAAGAGAAGTCATTTTGCTTGAATTTGAGGAAAATACGTTGATTTGGAAAATATTTTTAAAAAAATTTAACCCAATAAAATATGAGAAAATTGGATCGAAAAATATTTTCCTTCATACTAAATACATCTTTAAACTTGACTAGAGTTATATTACCCCTAAATTTATTTAAAATAGAATAAATACACCATAAATTATGACGTGACATAAAGAATGCGCACACCTACTAGAAGACAATTGAAGATGATAAACCTAATTTTAAAAAGTAATTAATATGTACGCGTGTCATTTTTAAGTTAAACATTACTTAATTAATTATATCTAATTAATTAACTAGAATCCTACATCTTCTAAACCGTTCCACTGTTTCTCATCATATATATATTTCTTTGGTAAGTAAAACATAATAAAACAAAAAAATTAGCCGGTACTGACAACGTAAGCTCCATCCTTGCTAAACCAGATTCTCATATTTGCTAATATTTCTATGCATAAGTATTTAAATTGTGTAATCTAGAAGCTATTCTACGATATCGTATATCTTTCAAGAATTCCATGAACTATAAGTCTGATCATAGAACCTACTGTTTGATGCTTTTCTTGAAATATCGTGGCATTGCGCTCTAACTATATATGATATACTGTGTTTGTCATTGTTATTCCATACACAAGGGTCCTGTTGCTTCTTCCTTTCATGTATTTTATTGATCATTCTATCTCATTAGTCCAGTTCATTGTTTTTATTTTTATTCCTCGCAAATGGAGTATACTCCTCCACACATCTGCTGCATATGCACACTAGAAGAAAATATGATCATGATCTTCATTCATTAGCTGACAAAAGGGACAGGTTTGTACTTGCATTATCCCTCATTTTTCCAATCTTTCTTTCGTTGCAAGACTTCCTTTCATTGCCAGATACATGATGAATAACTACTTAGGAGCTCCAAAGTTTGTACACACTAGTGTTCTCCACTCTACCTTCTTGTTTGTACTTCTCATCTGCCAATACACTTTACTAATGTTGTACTGTGTCATATTACTTATGTCATTCTCAGTGAACCCTGCCTCTTTTAAATGTTCTGTAGTCTTAAATATCCTCTGTACCACCCAAGAATCTCGTTTAGCATGTATGTTCCTGACACTTGTTTTCCCATTATAAGTATATAGACTACGTCTTTTTTCTGGCAAAAGTTCCATAATAACTTACCAATTACTGCTTTGTCCCGTGTATATATATCAAGAAAATTCATTCTTCCACTTGGTTTTGGACAACACATCTTATCACATGCAACTATTGCTTTCTTGGAGGTTTCAATGTTTCATATCCATTAGAATTTTCTGCACATACTCTCTATTGCTTGAATAACTTGTTAATTTTTAATGGAGGAGTTCTCTCACATTTTTAAACTACTATATTTTTTATGTTTTCTATTCTTCTTTTCTCAAAACCTCAAGGTGTTTTTTACAGAGTTGAGAATCTCAAAATTCAATAGAATTTGAACAATCTCTAACATGAATGTTAAATAAAATTAATACTCAAACTATAAAACATGCAATTTAGTAGATTTTCTATACTTTATATCAACATTTATATTATATTATATTGAAATAAGAACTCCAACAATACAATATTAATAATTAAGTAATACACTATATGGGAGGGAAGCAAAAGTATATTTAAGAGGTGCAAATAAGAGATTTTCAGAGGAACTTTTTGTTTTTACATTTTGCAATTAATATTAAAATGAAATTGATTTTAAAAGAAATGAAAAAGATTAATTTAAGTGGAGGTCATAGAGAAGTGTCAGTGTAACGACCCGCAAGTACATCCTAGAAGTTAGAGCATCCTTGTCTTGCCACACGGCAAATGAGACTTCAAGAAGTTTCATCAAAGCCACTCGTATCATCCATTGCATAATAAACATTCTAAAATGAGTAAGAATTAAAACTTTCTTCACACACAAAGAACTTTTTTCATAATCATTACACAAGTGGAAGACTTTCATCTAAAACATTAAACCTTTAAAACATCTCATTGAACCATCTAAACTTTGGAGTATACATCACTTGGGACTAAGCCCATATAAGTCATAAAATAAATACTAAGACATAAAGGAACATGTGGATATTATCCTCGAATCGATGAGGACTCACCAATACTTCATCTTCAACACTTAGAAATCTATCCATCCTCCATGGTATATCAAGACTTCCAATTTCCTACACTTAAGTTAAAAAGGGAAAAGAAGGGGTTAGCACATTAGATGCACTAAGTATGGAAACCATGCAAAAACCATGAAAAAAGGGCATTTACTAAATAATATTTTTTTTCATGAATTTTGACTAAAACAACATACTATAAGCATAAGAACAATATTTAACAACTCAAAAGTACATAAGAATCATTTAAGCAATTATTCACATTTTTAGGAAAACATTACAGTAAGCAAGTTCACTGTTACAGTGAAGCCTATCAACTTCACATAGAGTACTTCCTAGCATTCAATCCTCTCATTAAAAGCTATCATAAGACTCACATAAGTATGACAAAGAGATATCGCTCATACACCCTCTCTAGGCACACCTAAATGATCCTTAAGACCACCTATAATGATATACACACCAAGCACATAAACATGAGATCCTCCTACCGAAGGTGATTCTAGGGTTCACGTGAGTGAGTTGTGAAGCGACCGCCCGTACAATTCCTTACACACACACTTAAGAGATCCTATAGACTACCTAAGATAGAATCATTCTCACTCAATACATTAGTTTACATATGATATGACATTCTCCCCTACAAAGGTTATCAAAAGACTTACTTAAGTAAATCAAGAAGATAACGTCCATGATTGACTTTTCAAGATTACCTAAATAATCTTGACACTACCTAAGTTTGGATCATGTCTACATAGTCAACCAACTTCCCTAACAAGAGTCATTCTTAAGACTTATCTAGGTAAGAGATGAAGTTATCATTCCTATGCCCCCTTCACACCTTAACCAGACAACCCTTAAATATTCTAGATAAGTACTTATTCATTTAACATGTTTTCTTAACTTAACTCATTACATTCATTAGTTCATTTAAGATTCATTCATTACATAAGAACATTCAAGTGATGGTCTTGGACAAGACCTAGGGACTCTAACCTACATTTTCAAAACCTATTGCGCAATGTCTAGATAGCGTCTCATATCACCACCTAAACTTCATAGAACTTCTCTAATTCTAGTAGGTATCCCTCGTGATGAGAATAGACAATAACCAACATAGACCATGGTAGAAAAGCATGGAATCCGGAGTTCTAACCTACTCCGATGAGGGTGTTCTACTTGCCAATGGTAGAACTTGAGCACATCCCATG